GTTTTTTTTATTGTTGTTACCTGTTGGGATCTGGGTAGACGTATAACTATATTCTAAAATCCCCAACTCGTAACACAAACCCTCCTGCCATTCCGAGTCAAGAAGCCTCTGATGTGTGACCCGCCCCCACCCAGGCCTTTTGAAGATGCCTCTAAGTCCCCTTTTCCTACGCTGGCAAGAACTACCTGCTTTACGTAGATCGGCTTTCTGGGTGGCCACACTTTGCAGAATACGGAAGAGACGCCACCACACGTAGCAGTATTAAGTTACTACGGAGCTTTTTCGTGAATGTAGGGGTTCCTGTTCGCCTCCGTTCTGATGGTGGACCCCAGTTTTCAAGCTCGGAGTTCAGGTTCTTTCTCAAGATGTGGGGCGTCAATCATGACAACTCGTCTCCACATCACCCGCAATCGAACGGGCATGCCAAAACTTGTGTTCAACAAGTAAAACACCTTATCATGAAAACTACTACCAACGGTAACCTAGACGATGAAGACTTCGACCATGGTCTTTTAGAGATATGCAACACGCCCCGTCCAGATGGCAGGTCTCCAGCACAGATTCTACTTGGCCGCCCTTTACGGACGGCGATGCTAGCACACAGTTCGTTTGCTCCCGAGTGGCAGGACGTAGCGGATGATTGTGACGGTCGCCAACTCACCCTCAGTCTGAGCAGTATTACAACCACTCCGTTCGGTCCCTGGCCCCCCTCAGAGTTGGTGCTGCCGTACATATCCAGGACCATGTTTCGAAGAGCTGGGACAATGTCGGGACTGTATTCGGTGTTGGTTGCCACCGTGACTACCATATGAAACTGCCTAGTGGTCGCTTGTGTTGGCTTAACCGCTTCTTACAGCCACATCACTCATCAGCCTATGATACCACCAAGTCCATGGACATCCCCGAGGCGTCACCAACACCGCAGACGCCAGAGCCGTCAAAGCGTCAAGTTTGCTTTTGCCTGCCACTTAAGGCACCCAGCCGTCAAACCCATTGCCATCGCAGACGTCCTGACCGTCTGGACCTCTAGTCCTCGCCATGAGTTTAGAACATAAGAACATAAGAATGGAGGAAACTGCAGCGGGCCTATTGGCCCATACTGGGCAGTCCCATATACACCCAACCCCTATTGCTCATATAATCATCCAACCTATGTTTGAAGCTATTCACCGTGAATGATAATATTTGGTAACTTGTTCCATTCATCCACTACTCTGTTTCCAAACCAGTGTTTATCTATTTCGCGCCTAAAACTAAATTTGTCTAATTTAAAACCATTGTTACGAGTTCGCTCATGGTTGGATAGTTTGAGTACCTTTGTTATGTCCCGTTTGTTTAGCCCTGACTTCCATTTATACACTTCTATCAGGTCGCCCCTCGCTCTACGTCTCTCGAGGGAGTGCAAATTTAGATGCTTTAACCTGTCTCTATACTCAAGGTTCCTAATGCCCGGGATTAGTCTTGTCATTCTCCTCTGAATTCTTTCCAAGGATTCTATATCCATTCTGTAATACGGTGACCAGAACTGAACTGAGTAATCCAGGTGTGGTCTCAAGTGCAAGATACAGTTTTAGGATGACCTCACTGGTCTTGTAACTAACACTCCTTTGTATGAACCCAAGTACTTTATTAGCCTTGTTACGAGCAAAAACACATTGTTTACTTGGCTTAAGGTTCATACTTATCATTACTCCTAAATCTCTCTCACAGTCGAATTTCTCTATGGCATCGTTGTTCATCTGGTATCTGGTTTCCCTGTTTACATCTCCTATACTGAGTACTTTACATTTGTCCACGTTGAATTTCATCTGCCATTTTTCAGACCATTCGAAAAATTTGTTTAGATCTTCCTGTAGTTTTGCAGAGTCTTCGTCAGATTTAATAACACGTCCTATTTTAGCGTCATCAGCAAATTTACTTATGTTGCTGTCTATGCCGATATCTATGTCGTTTATGTATATAATAAATAATGATGGTCCAAGTACTGAGCCTTGGGGAACTCCACTAGTGACGTTGCTCCAATGGGACTTAGTGCCGTTAATGCTCACTCGCTGTTTCCTGTCCTATAACCACGCCCTAATCCATTTAAGGATACTACCTTTGATCACTGTCTCGGGAGGGGGTGGCAACCCTGGCTGGGGGTCTAGAGTGGGCTGTTCGATATCGAAGATATCGAAGTCTTTAAACTGCTAGGGGAACATGAGGGCACGGGGGTGGAGGAGACTGCAGTGGGAGCGGGTAAACAAAGTGAAAGGTTACAGGGAAATAGTGTTAGGAATGACGACAAAACTAAAGCAGACAGGGAGTTTAAACCTAAACGCTGTAAAGGGAGGACTCAGAACACGACTAACTTAAATGTCTACTACGCGAACAGTAGAAGTATGAGAAACAAAATGGATGATATTAGGGCCTTAGTATGTACCGAAAAAATCGACATATAGCATTCACTGAAACATGGATCAACCTAGACTCACGTGAGTTACCGGTCGAATACCAAATTGCGGGTTACAAATTGTTCCATACAGATTGGCAGACCAGGAAAGGAGGCGGAGTAGCAATCTATGTCAGGATAATCTGAAGTGTGAAATAAATAAGGAAATAAAAACTGAGCGGAATACAGAAACAATTTGGATAGAATTAATAGACGGTAGGGAAAAATTAATCACAGGAGTAATATATAGACCTACCAATCTTGATAGAGTCAATGAGAGACTTATCTGGGATGAAATGAGCAGGGCTTCCATACACAACAAAGTCTGTATAGTAGGCGACTTTAACCTTGGCCAAATAGATTGGACTGACCTTACGGGTAACTCAGAATCAGAGGATTTTCTCGAAACGATCCAGGACTGTTTCCTAAGTCAACATATAACCGAACCTACCCAGGGTAGTAATATACTCGATTTAGTTCTGTCGAACAGAGTAAACCTCATTAGCAATGTCGAGGTAGGGAACAAACTTGCAAAGAGCGCTCACAAAGAAATTAGATTCCAGTTAGATTTTCAGGGTAGACGTAAGGAAAATTCCACTAAAGTACCAGATTTCAGAAGGGCAAACTTTGACATTTTAAAGAGGCAGCTGAGAGAACTTGGGGTGTGTCTGCGAGACTGATATGAGGACTGAGTGATACCTGACAGACAACAATGACACATCATTGGCCCTAGAAGGATAAATCATGGCGAAAACAGGATAAAGGTATTCGAGTAGGGTTAAAACCGAGATAAGGAAAGCCAAGAGGAATAATGAGGTAAGGATAGCAAGGGAGGTGAAGACAAACCCCAAGGGATTCTACCAAATATATCAAAGTAAAACATGAGAAAAGATTGGACCAATACGGTCAGATACCGGCGAGCTCACTGACAACGACGGAGAAATGAGCAATAATTTGAATAAATATTTTTCAACAGTTTTCACCACCGAAAATGTAAACATGATACCCGAGGCACCGACTCTATTCAGAGATAGTGAAGAAAACAAATTAAGCGAGATAGTAGTGACTATTAGTGATGTTAGTAAGCAAATAGACAAACTAAAGCCTAATAAGTCACCTGGTCCCGATGAGATATTTGCCAGAGTATTAAAGGAATGTAAGGAAGAGCTTAGTATGCCCTTAGCAAAGTTGTTTAACATGTTCTTAAAAACAGGTGTAGTACCAGAATCCTGGAGGATAGCGAATGTAATACCAATTTTCAAGAAGGGGGATAGATCACTATCCTATCATATCCTATATATAACTTTCGAGTGGAAATTATTGGGAATAACATGTCGGGTAATTGGGTTATTGCCAACATTTATCAATACCTGTCTCTAAATGTCTACATGTGTAAGTCTTTCTGTGATGCAACATTATGCATCATCCTGTGTTCCATGTAATCCAAATAAATGGAAATATAAATTTATATAGGTTGTCATGTCGTATTCATCTTTGATAATGGAATACTTTGGGGGAAGGAATAACGATGAAACACGTTTCATAACGTGTGTGTGTGTGTGTGTGGAATCTTATGAAACGTCATGGTTATGATAATATAAAGCGGCGTTTGTCAGTAGTGATAACATGTAATATCTCATCTCAGTTTCCTGTCGCCCAATACAGAGAACCGAATGATTATGATGATATGACTATTTGCTAGTGGGTGTATAGCTTTGGTTCATCACCTTGCGTAACACCTGCGGCTGTTTCCCTCACCCCTTTACCAAAGCTCCACCACTTATGGGAACAAATGAACTTCCCGATATTTCAGCGACGTCACCTCATGCCTCCATGTAATACCAGACATGGTCTGTATATCCTGAATTGTTTGGAGAGTAAACATACAGTAAAAACACAGAGCTCTGCCTTTCATTCCGATGTTAATTTCGTGATAAGTTCTCCACTTCCTGCTACCCGGGGAGGGAGTGTGGTACTGTGGTAGGACGGTGGGCAGGGGCGGGGTAGCACGTTGTCACTGCTGCTAAACACTTCTTACATATTATAGGCTTGTTTTATGTTGACGATACATTTCAATATATATTACAGATGTTACATCATGTGTAATATCACAATTGGCACCTTTACGTATGGTCCTCGTCAACCCATACCCCAAATCACAGTTACCAACCTTCCCAAACTATCCCTGCTGCTTCGCAGACACGACTTTTTTGGCTGACTGTACGTATTCACTAGGTACTACTTTGCTACCCTGTGTATAAATGCTTAGACGTTTGACTGACGTCACCTAGGGGAACGGACCCTGGTCACAGGATCAGTGCCCGACTGTCTTTGGTTCAGTACACATCGGAAATTCTGTACGACTACCTGCATAAGTAAATCCAAGAAATCGTCTCTGCCTTCTCTTTGACACCTGAGCAGCAGCAACACAGTATTCTTCTCCACTTAAAGGCAGCAGCGCAGTTTCCTTTTCTACTTAAAGTTAGCAGCACAGTTTCCCTCTTCACTTAAAGGCAGCACAGAGTTTCCCTCTCCAGTTAAATTTCATTTTCCAACTGGGTCTAGAACAACCATAGCTTCTCCGTCAACCCAAAAGACTCGGAGATCGAATGAAACCAATAGACTTACCATTGGCAGTTTCTTCCCCATACTGAAAAAATTTCCAGGGAGGTCTGTCGACGAAGTCCTGATTGGTAAAAGCGTCTTTGTTCAGCTGGTAGTCGTGGAGAATCACAATTACCTGCGTCCCGAATCTCCATCTGCCAATAAAGGGGTGTTTTGTAAAGTATTCGTGAGGCACGAAACAAAAACGATGATTTTTTCTACTTCGTCGTACTAATCAAATACTAAACATATTTTACTCTCCTATCTTGACTTCTCATTTGAGTAAATGCCACCTAGTGGACTCAAAAGACACTGTGCGCCTTGTGTGACTAAAAAAGTTTGACTTAATATTAATTCAATCCAATTCTCTTTGTGATATTACCACCACATAATGGGTGTTACTACATGAAATGCCTTTGTATGCATAATATATTTACCCAAATGAAAACGAGATACTGTATTTGGTTTAACATTTCGCTCCTCACAGTAAAACTGGTAAATATATTATCAGTGTCACTATTGTCTCTGCTCAAGTCGCAAAGATGATCCATTATTTTGCATTTCAAATTATTTAGAGATTCACCGGTAACCTAAAAAAATAAGCACAAAATCGAACATTTCATATGGACATTTCTCCACATCATATTGTTATGCCAAGACATAATTTTCTATCCCAAACAGCAGTTATTTTGGCAAGTTTAGGGAGATTTTCTAGAATGTATTGCATCATTTTTGTTATGATTTGCTTACGTACTATAAGCCTAGATCATTCTAGAACTCTCCAGGCATATCTATCTCCTTCCGACTAGCAACAAAAAAAATGTCACTAGAATGCCCTAGGCATCTCACGAGACATATATATAAACACCCACGAACTGCCTAGAAGAACAAGACCCACTTTACACATATATGAGAACAAATAACATCACCATTTAACAAACATAAATTAACACACATTACACTGATGAATACCTAGCTAGCATAGCATCCCCCCCCCTCCCCCAGCCTCCCTTGAGCGGGAGGGCGTCTGCTGTGTGTGGCCATCACCCCAACCAATCAACTCGTCTCAGCTATCACCCCCTACTACTTTACTTACCGTTTCTATGCTCTCCTTCTCTCTCTCCTCTCCTCTCCCAGGGCAATGTCATTTGCCACTTTACTTCATTATTATCATCATCAGAAAGTCAGTCGCCTGTTTCTGTTCAGAGTGTAAAGTACACTCGGAAACCATAATCTCTAGCCCACCTGGGTAGGTACTGGAGGTTAGAACAGTGTCCTTTCTGGACGGGGGCCCCACTCTAACTATCACAAGGCAACACACACACGAACACACACAGTCATAGTACGGCTGTATAGATGACATTATGTATAAATATTGTATATGGCATTTTATACTCTGCATTATCTTTATTATAAATGAACATGAAGAAAAAATACCATAGGTTGTAGTTACGAAAGTATGAATGGAAATAAACACTTTCAAACCACCCAGTGACTCCACACAACGTGTGTGTGTGTGTGTGTGTGTGTGTGTGCCAGACCACGATGCTTCCCATCATTCGCATAACTATATGAAAAATCGTGTTTAATTTAACTACATATTTCAAAAACCTTAAATTACATGTGGATCAGTCACTCCTCATTTGACACACATACTTTGACCATCCCACCTGGGCACATGGAGGCCCATATATATATATATATATATATATATATATATATATATATATATATATATATATATATATATATATATATATATACAATCATGATTTTGGGGGCACTGGTGGTAGACAGTACCAATCTTGCCTCACAAGCAAGATGTCACTCTTTCTAGTCCCCTTGGTCCCTGTTCACCTAGTAGCAAAGTCGGTACCTGCTGTAAATCGAAAGTTGCGAATTCGTATTCAGGGACAAGTTCTTCGAGCTTCCAATAACTTGCTTAGACATAAACCATTGACTCTTCAGGCTTCTACGCCCTCAACTCTTCAGACTTTTACGCCCTCGACTCTTCAGGCTTCTACGCCCTTAACTCATGAGACATAAGGCAAGCATGAACTTAGCATGCTTCCCTGTTGGGCGCTGTAAACGCTTCTGTGCTTCACCTTACACAAGGATGTAGGGGGGTGCCCAATAAATGTAAAAAAAAAAAAATCAAGACTTCACCAGCCAGGATTCGAACCCTCGCCCTCTGCCTGTGACCAGGGATTGCTGGATTCGGTAAAATGCTTACTCTCCGACCACATAGTTGGCAGGGGCAATCCCCAGTGAAGGTTCACGGCACTGATGGTAGCACGATAGAACAGGCTTTGTGTCAAGTGTGTATATATATATATATATATATATATATGTATATATATATATATATATATATATATATATATATATATATATATATATATATATATATATATATATATATATATATATATATATATATATATTTGGAATCAGCAGAAATCTACATTCAAAATAATCAATGTGTTGCTTTGAGAAAATATCCCTAGATATCTAAAGTTGCACATCAAAAACCTACTTACTATATATAATTGTTTTTATGGAATTATCTGGTGGTATCCCACAGTGTTATGTAAGGCGCAAAAGGCTTAAAGCGTTTTTACTCCCCAGCCGCTTTTGACTTTGCCACCGTTTCGGAGGTTAAAAAATATAACACTGAGTGGGCTATATTTATATTGTGTCAAAATACTTGACTATACTCACACATAGATGTCGCCGTACTTCTTGTGTAAGTCAAACAGCTGATCGTGTATGCTTTTCCTTGTCAGCGGGATGTAACCAATCAGAGGAAGTCCCCAGAGTCCTGATAAAGAATTCACTTATAGAACTTTACAAAGAATACACCTGCATATTGCTGGAAAATAAAGTTGAAAAGATAAATTATGCAGAATCTTGAAACTTTCGAGAAATTGTAGAATGAAGATAAATTATTATTACTAAATATTACAGCAAACGTTACGAAAAGTTAGTTATAATTTATGATTTGACACATGCATGACGATATAATAATGTATGTTTAGTTATATAAAATATTTTGAGCCCAAATTTAAGACACTCATTTCTACCGTCATTTGTTTTTATGACGCGTCCCTTCGAATGAAGGGCCAATTGCAAGAACTTCCGTGGTGTACACCATGCTATGGTAGCCTCATGGCCGGTTTGCAAGAAGCACTTTGGGCTAAAAAAACAAAACAAAATATGTACGATTCGTTACTGGAACGTGGGTTATTTCCGTGCTACTTTTTCTTTTTTTTTTTTTTTTAGGTTGGTGGGGAAAGGATGGAAGGCATGTTGGAGCTCAAGGCACAGCCAGACATGAGGGATGGAGAAGTCACAACATATAGTCGTGGGGGTAAAGGTTGGAAAAGAAGTTTAATGAGTTTGTTGGCTAACTAAGCTAACCTACGATTTAGAATGAGGTTGCACAATGGTTATTTTAGTAGGCAATGACTAGATTGATTTTACAATTACAAGTTTATTAACATCTTATACTGTATTACGTTATGGACTCACCTGATTGTGACTTGTTAAATGTGAATTTATATCATCTAAGTTTTAATCTAAGGTGGATCACTGTGGCTGACATAGATGGGTCGCGGGTTGGGTTGCTGGAGTGCGGGCAGACTCCGGGGCCACCAGGCGTGGGGTCTCCCTCCGTTGATGTCTTCCCCGCGTAGGTGGTCTGGGCTGTGAGGGTCGTCCAGGAGCTTGTCCCAAACCTTCTTCCCTAGGCGATGGAACCTGAAGATGAGGGCCTCTGTTTTATTTCTTAGGTGGATGGTTTCCACTGTCACCTGGTAGGGTGGCGCTTGGCCACTGGCTGACCTCAAACACTTGTTTTGGAAGCTCTGTAGTTGTTGTAGTCTAGTCTTCCCGAGTGTGACAAGTGGCATAGATGGGTACTCCAACACAGGCTTCACCAGCGCCTTGTACCGGTGAACTTGTATCTTCTCAGGCATCAATTTAAAACGTTTTAATCTGGCTGCGGCGACTTTGGCTTTATTTAGTTTGTCCTTCACGTGGGGAATGATGCCCTTCCGAGAAATGATGAGGCCGAGCAACCTGCCTTGTTTAGAGTACTCAATCTCTTCTTCGTCGATCATCAATGGGGCCGGCTTGAATTTGGCTATAAGTATGACCTCAAATTTCGTTTTGTTTGTTTTTATTTTCCATTTATGTTCATAGTCCGAGATCTCCTCTATTGCCCTAGCAGTGAGTCGCACCATCCTTGCAGCGGACCTTCCTGGGCAGGTGACGATCTGTGTTACATCGTCGGCATACATGACGTACTCGCTGCCGACGATTGGGGGTGGCAGGTCAGCCGTGTAGAGTGTGTAAAGGGTTGGTGAGAGACAAGAGCCCTGAGGCACGCCGCTCGATAGTGAGAATTCTTCTCCAAAATGTTCTTGCATCTTGATTTTGGCTCTGCGGTCCATAATGAAGTTGCACAGCAGGCGCGTCAGATTTTCGGGTAGCCCCAGTTGTATGATCTTATACTGCAGCCCTGCGTGCAAAACTTTGTCAAACGCCTTGCTGACGTCCCTCAGTATTATATTGCACTGCAGGCGGCCAGTCATGGCATTGGCGATCTGCTCGTAGGCCTGAGCTATGGCGGTGGATGTGCCTCGGTACTGGCGGAAGCCGTACTGGCGGGGATTATGCACGTCTTCGTCCTCCAGATACATCCGCAATCGCTTGATGACTATTTTTTCGAAGATTTTGGCAGGTACCTCTAGCAGCGATATTGGTCGAAAGTTTTCGACTTTGTTTGGAGGTTTCCCTACTTTTGGTATGAGGCGAATAACGGCGATTTTGAACATCTTAGGGAAGTATCCAGAGGCGAGGCAGGCGTTGCATATATGAGCATGCCTCTCTATCATGTTGTCGGGGAGTTGAGCCAGGATCTTCTTGTTAATGTGACTTTGACCAGGGGATTTGTTTTTAAACCCTTTTATGACGGCTGACACATCTGCAGGAACTGTGCGCTCCGTCAGGTAGCTTCCGTCCACCAGTCTAGTGAAGTCAGTCCGTGGTAGTGGCTGGAGCAGGTGCTGATGGTCCTGCAACTGACCTAAAATGTCCTCCTCAAACTCCCTGTCGAAGCCCTCGTTCTCCTGTTCACTAATGGTAAAGATCTTTTGTAAATATCGCCGATGTAGTTGTTCTTGGTTTTCTTCCTCGAATATTTTTACGTTGTTTTGGTCGAGCAGGTAAGGGACCGTGCTAGAGGTGGAACCCATAAGTCGCTTGATCCCTTTCCAGAATGCAGCAGAATCGCGGTAACTGTTGGCTGCCTCCCACACCAAGGCGGCCCACTTTTGTTCATGTGGACATTTGCTCTCGTGCTGGATGTCTGTCTGTAGCTCTCGGTACCGGTCTCTCAGCTCTTGCGTCCACCCGCGGATACTGGCTAGCTGTCTCACGTGAGCGTACTGGACACTGAGCTGCCTCAGCTGGTGACTAGTGTGAGGATGGAGAATGGTCCTGTAACTGGTGGTCGGGATGTTGTTGTCCATCTCCGTCTTCACATCCGTATACCATTGTTCGACCGCGTCGTCGATGTCATTGGGGCTGGCTTCTTCCAGGTTCCTCCCCTGCTTGAGACTGAGAGACTCCTTGAAGGAGTCCCAGTCTGCCCGTTTGAGGTTTGACCTGATGTTGGCGGGGATCATAAAGGGATTGAATGAGAGCGTCACGACGACTGGCAGGTGAACACTGGTAATGATGGGTACTGCGGTAACGTGCCTGTTCAGGGCGGCCTCGTTGTTAGAGAGGATTATGTCGGGTGTTGTGGCACTGGCACGTCTGATCAATGTCGGGAAATCTAGCCCGAGGTGTTGCAGTTTTCCCCTTCTCATGTTGTCATACAGCGCCGTACCGACGTTGTTCTCATTACCGTGTCCTAGTATGGCGTGGCGCGCATTTAAGTCCCCTATGATGTATGTTGGTTTCCTGTGGCGTAGCAACTGGTTTAGGTCTTGTTCGGGTAAGTAAGGACGTCTGGGAGGTAGGTACATTGTGCATATGATAACAGGTCCCATAGTTGTCTCCACCTGCACTCCCAGAACTGAATCCTCGAAGTCTGGCAACACTCTGTGACTCAGCCGTGACCTGATGGCCACAGCGACACCATCGTTCAGCTCACCCGTCATGTTCCTCTGGTATACAGTGTAGCCAAAAATTTTCAGCTTACTTTCGTCCTTTATGCCAGTACTGTTTAACAGAATGATGTCTGGGTCTAATTGATAGTATAAGTTAGACAGCTCGTTACGTCTATTAAGGGACCAGTGTAGGACATTATGTTGGACAATTTTCATCCTGCTAACGACTGCCATTTCGGAGACTGTAGCTTGGGGCGTCGCTTGGAGTGTTTGCTCGGCTTCTGCCATTTCTAGGGGGACGGAACTTCTTAGCACAACCTTCGGACATCTGCTTGTCAGTCAATGGCGGGCCCTCGAACTTCTCGTCACCCGTGTACAGGAAGGTGTTCAGGTCCTGAACCTGCGTGTCGTAGTAATCAACTGACGCTGCAGCTCGAGGGTCTTGTTCCTCTGTGGAGTGAGTCGTTATCATCTGGTCGCAACCATTGACTATGGTTGCAGTCCGATGGTCACTGTCGTCGCTGGGAGTGCATGTAATGGGATCGCTGGCATTTTCGGTGTCGTTGGAGCTGTGATCCCAGGGGGACTGACTGGCCACGTCGGGATTGCGGTTATACTGACTTTTGCCAAAGTCAAGGAGGTCATGGTCTATTTCTGGCGTGGGTTGAGGTCGTCGATAAGTCGTTGAGTGGGTTACTGCCTTAAGGATTTCTTTTGAAGGCACTTTGTCGCTTATTTCAACAGGTGCAATGTTGTTCCTGGTTAGTGTCTCGTTGAGGTGTTTCGAGAATGAACCTGGATGAACCATGTTCATGTGATGGGCATGCAGGTAAGACAAGTATATAGTGGTGGCTTTGGACTCGTCCAGCTGTGGAGAGGAGACGCTCCTGATGCTCTCGGCCACTGCGTCCCTCATGGCGCCCAGTGACTCAGTAACTGCCTGTTTTATTGAGTCCTTGATGGTTCTTATCTCTGATTGCAGGACTTCCATGGTCTCGCTGACATTGTTGAGCTTTTGGGAGTCTGCTTGAGTTTCTTTTAGAGCTTCTTTCAGGGTTTGGCTGTAAGCCATGGTCGTCGACTGAGTGGTCCTTTCTATGGTGTTAGAAATTTCCCTGGTTTCTTTTTGTTTGGTTATTTCGGTCAGTTTCTTCTCTGTTTCTTGAAGTACCTGTTTCCTGACCAGGCAGGTAGCAGAGAAGGTCCTGTGGTCACCCTCGCAGACGACACACTTTTTTATGGTGCTACGGCAGTCTTTGTAGAAGTGCTGATCAGATGAACACTCAGAGCATATGACCCCTTGCATGGGGCAGTTCTTGGTCATGTGGTCATTGTATTTATAGCACTTCATACATTGTTGGATGGGCGTATACTTTTCATATTCTATTTGGTGTGATGAGATGGAAGCGCCCCTTCTCCTTCATTCTTTTTGCATCCGTTGTGTCTGCAAAGCGAACCTTGATTATATTATGGGCATACATAGGATACACCTCCACAACCTTGACATTGTTTTGCTTTTGTATTTCATCTCTTATTTCTTCTGCGTTATTTTCCACTACATCTTTGTCTAACTTCTTACATACAAGGGTGAACTTGGCACCGTATTCCCGTGGGACAATGACCTCGTAACCGTTGGTTTTCATTTTGTCCATGGCACTAGAATTAAGTAGTTTATCAGCATCTTCATCTGTTTCTGTGATGA